TACTGTAATCATCTGTAGTGAATGAAGATAAAAGAAAAACAACACTAGTGATAATTGTAAGTCGATTTGCTGACCGATTTTGTTAATAGTTTCATTAATTTTATCAATCATATTACGTGATTGTCAAGTCATGACAATGCTTTATGACGATATCCTGAAACTATTACGTTTAGCTAGTTATAGTGTTGATTGAGGATTAGTCAGTAGAAAAAAAAAGGTATTGTTGCTTTAGGTGATTCGAAATCATCAGAAATTTATAACGTTAAAGAATCCGAGACGCCTAATTTAACTATAAATTTTAATTCAGAAAGATTAGTTTAGTGTTAATTCTAGTAGGCTACGGAGTTTTGATTTTAAACGTTTGTTTAGCTAACAGCTACCTGAGGATTTAGTTATTTTACTAGTGCAGTTGATAGTACCTAAATTTTTAATCTTATTATCTAAACTATGTTCGCATTTTAGGCTGCTAATATGATAAACCAATTCATAAACCCAAATACGATTAGCAACAACAACTATGATGGGTTTATTGATAAATGCTAAAGGCGACTCAGATGATTCCTAAATTTAGAAGACATGAAGATATAGTGTAAGGTATGTGTGGGCCAGGTTAACAAACAGGTTGTTGACGTATATGACAATTTAAAAATAATGAACATGACCAGAAAATAATTTTAAAGTTAAGACTGCTTGTGAAACTTCAGGCAGGAATATGATGCGTTATAAACCTTCCATAAGAAGTTACTGCATTTAGCTTAGTGACACTTACAAATATATGGCAAAAGGAACCGGAAAACATATACATGTTAAGTAAAAAAAATCACTAAGTAAAATAGTTGAACTCGCCTGGGTTATTTTTGAAAATTAGATTATTCAGTGGACGACATATATAAAGCCATTCGTGAGGAGTAGTAATGATCCAAAAGTATCCAGAATAAAACATGCAGTATGGCAATTAATTCCATGGTGCTTGATGCTGTTGACGTTTTTGCCACTCGCTCGGATCAGAACAACCGAATAAATCCAGATAACTGTGTGTGCCATTGAATGAGCCATCTAAAATGAACTTATGATTGCAGAAAACTTATAGCTGGAACTCACCGTATGTTTCTGGAGAAGTGCCATCCTTGTTGTTTGGCAATGGAACTCGAGAATATGAAATTAGGCAGGCAGTGGTCGGAAGAAAAGATATTACAGGATAGTGTATAGTTTAAAACAGGATGAGGTAATAAGATAAGGAACACTGAATATTAGATCCAGATAACTATTTAGTCCTTGATCGCATTGTTAGTCAATGTATATTTACGCTATTTACAGGTCATATTTGCTAGAGCTTGATGTTTAAACAAGACTATGTCGCTGAAACATGTAAATGCTATTACAGCTTGTTAACAAATCATCAAAGTTAATTAGTTAATATAGACGACCAGTTTTTATTATCGATTGAGCTAGTTTGTCATGAGGACTAATCAATATAACATTACGATAATGCATGTGAGCATTAATCAGAGGACTATTGGAATACAGGGTTAACATAAATATAAAATCGATCGAGAAAGTTGAAGTGGAAATAAGGATTAATAATAATAGGTTGCGTTTCTTTAGTTGGGCTCACCAATGTAGAACTATGGTCTACTATGATATTAGTACTGCTCTAATAATAGACCTAATCCTAAACTTGTCGATTTGCCATGATATAACTGCCTAATCTATAAGATCTTACGTGGAAGTCACACCATCGACTACACCAACTCACTGTATCGTATCAATTACCAATACATGATGAGGAAGAATGTTAGGCTGGAGAAAGAACAATATATTTAATATGAATAGAGACCACGCCTGCATGGCCGAGCCATGCCACTCGATCAACTCCAGTCCATTCAATTCATTGTTCGCGCCTTCTCCATTGTTAGGTATTTCCCCGAGTTAAATATTGAATATCTATTTTCTGAGTAGTCTCGTGTTCACAGCTTTGTGGATTGTGTGGCTATTGTCCAATGCCACTACAAACTCTCTGGAAATCGCCGCAAACCAGAACGACCTGTGGAAAGCAAGGAAGGTAAGGTAATCACCAACATTGAAGAGCAACAAAACAGGTGGGCAGAACACTTCAAAGAACTCTTGAATCGACCAGCTCCACTGAACCTACCCAACATCGAAGCAGCACCCACGGACCTCTCAATCAATGTTGGCCCACCAACAATTGAGGAAGGCCCAGGACAGAGTGAGTTGGAGAATGCTGGTTGTCGGCCTATGCTCCATTAGGAGTAACAGGCGTAAGTAAGTAAGTCTCCCCTTCCAAAGTTCCACGTGTAGATCACTAACTAGGTGATCCATAGTGAATGATTGGGGCATACTTAAGTTGGACTAAGATGGTGTGACAAACCAGCTATTTTCGTAGTCACACCTCGCTGTCCGCAGTAAATGGCAATTCAAAAACTAAGACTTTAAATGCCACACATTACATAAAGTTTTAACAGTTTTTCATATACTCTTAAAACTTGTGGTTTACGCTTATGACCAAATATGCTCTGAAACACAACAAATATGTATTTAAATCTCATGTTCTTCACTGATTTACTGTCAACATGAATGTAATGGGTATGAGCAGTCTGAAAACGGATAACCTATATTTTCCCTATATGTTGAAATTCACTTTACGCACTATCGAATTTACCTCAGCTTCCGAAACGTCATTCAAGTGATTTTGGTTGAAATGCTTCGCTTATTTCGACTGAATAATTATTTTTAAAAACTTACTTATTGCAATAACACTTTGTCAGTTAGAGAAAGTGTTACTTATGTCTAAAGTTTATTGATTTGTAGCGTGGTGTTGAGTTGGGATTGACTGTGAACACCGCTACCAAGAAACACGTGCCAAGTAAATCAGAAGGCGAAGGTCGAACGTAACCAAATTAATCCATAAAATCCCCGAGAAGCCAAATATCAGAAGGCAGTTAATGGACCAAGTCGAGATATATTTGCTGCCGATCTCGTGGTATCGAAAGGATACCGAGATCGTGCTAGGATACAAGCTTGGTTACAGAACGTAACCCAAATTCGCGCGAACTCACAATCAAAGTGTAAGAATAAGAATGGAAGCACAATATAGATGTCATTAGTACAGTCAAACAAAAGCATATTAAAACAAACACTGGTCCAGTTGATTATAATAATTGTTTTTATTAAGCCAGTCGTGTTCTCGTGTTAAATGTGAGTCACTACAGATTATTTGATATCTCGTTCTAATCCTGGCGTAAAACATCGATTCACAAAAGTTTTGCATATCTAGAACTTCTGATTTATTATTAATTTGTTGTTTCCTAGACTTTATCAGCTTTTGAACAAAGACGGTAAGGTTCATTGGAGCGATTGTTGTCCCAGACGAAGTTATTGAGCAATGGGTAAGCGAAAATATAGACTACAAAACACAGAAAACCCATTATTGTTTTTTGCAATGATTTTGTGGTTTTATTGAAACGGAGTACTACTTGAATATGAAAACATTTAAAATGCGTGTGAACCAATAGACGCACAACAAACGCACAGCGATCGAAATGCAGAAGAGCAGTCACATGTCAGGCCGTTCAAGGTCGTGGAGGCGAATTGGCGCGAGTCTCACAGTAGGTCGAACTTCTTTGATTTTATGCAATTAGTAATATATCTACAAACTATTGTACGTGGGCGAAGCGAAAAAGACTACAACTACATCATATTTCAGTTCATAGGCTGCCAAATTGGTAGACTGAGTGTCGGCGAGACTATTATTTTTAGGCGAACTAAACGGATTCACGATAATAGGCCTTAGGTTTTGGCGCGAAACCTGTTTATTATTTATTCGGCACCATTGATGATGTCAGTTCGTGATGAAAACCCCAAATCTAATTCCTGACCCGAATTATATCCAACTTATAATACTAAAAGCTACAACACTTCCGAGATTAGCACATATTTGAAATTTGTATCACTGGAATGCAGCTGGTGTTCCTGATAATTCGCTATGCACAGGCAGACATCCGTCTCGTAGCGGTGTCGTCGTCCACCTGACGAATAGTCCTGTCGTACGAGTCCGTTTTAACTCCATCAGGGAAAGGGAAACTAGTATATGCCACGGAGCTTATGTTAGATGTAACGACTGCCTCAGGGTAACGAGGCATATAGGGCTCAGAAATTAAACTGAATTAAGGACTTCATCATGAACATCCTGCAACCTTAACGTGAGAATCCTAAAGTTGATATCCTGGCGTGATAAATTATTCACTAGTATTTGCTGTCTCTTGGTTGGCTGGGATAAAGCAAAAGCTCAGGTTCGTCTGGCTATTTAGTATTTGACTTGGCAGTGTTTTTTGAAGATCTGGTTTTTATAACCCGTTCTCACATTCTTATAAAGCCGGTGCCTTGGATTGTTGGTAGTCAAAATCGTCCCCGTAAGATTTTGGTAACGTCAGCAGTACACTTTCACTGTCAAATCTTAAATCCTCAATGATTGGTCTTAATGCTCTTCAAATTGTGTCCATGTTACTAGAGTTTTGTATTCTTCAGGTGAGAGTCATTATCGTCTATAAGACAGGCTCAAAACAAGCTATCAACTCAGAAACACTTTGAAGTATCCGCTCACATCAGGGTATTAAGTGTTGCAGCATAATTACACCAATTTTATTCTTAAAGTGGAATAGTTTACTAAGGATTGTTAGATAGAAAAGCATGTTTTGATGCCATTGGTGTGAATCTGATACGTAGTAGTGGCTCGAAATATGCATATCACGGAGTGAGTTCCCCGACATTTTGCTAAGTTACTCAACGATATATTTGATACTTATTACCACGATTAAGCGGATCCCTATGAACATAACATTTATACGACTGTTGAAAAGCCCAAAAATCGATACAAGTACGCCTAGTTTATGGAGTCACATACTATTAATTATTATCACCAATCAGTTGTCACTATATTTCCAATATATCATTTTCCAGAGATCTTAGAAGATTTAACTCAAATGAGCCAGAGTATAACTGTTCCTGTGACTTTTATACGTTCATTCAAGTACCGTACAACGTGTTATTTGCCTTTGTCGAACATTCCTCAGTCGGCGACTGTAAAAGACCTGTTCGACCGCATACATCATGGTAAACACTACATTAGATATACTTTACAATATTCATGTTTAGAAGTAAAAACCTCTTCGGTTATACCTCCTCCTTTCAAGAACCTTTGTTACGGTAAGCTAATATCTAGTAATTTAACTCTCATAATAGAAACCTGATGAACACCCATTGGTACTCAATCATTTATTCACTAATTACATAATTCGGTTTGATTTCAGGGAAACACATGCTTCAGTAGGCTTCTTAGTCTTTTGGTAATCTGACTGGTGTTATAAAACCCGACTTGACTTTCTCTATTTCCCAATGACGACAAATGTAGGTTCTTTAATCCACTACTGTGTTGGCGCACTATCCCAACCTGCTTGATAATTTCGAAAGATGTATTATTATGTATCCTAGGTACTAAGATTATAATAACGTAGTGTATTAATATACTTGCTTCAGTAAGAGCGAAAACTAGTCCCACTTTAGCTGTTTTAATGTTCTAGTGTACGTTAATGCCGTTTTGAGAAAAGATCCTTAGTCATAACCTAATTGTAAAATACAAGTACAAATACCAAACAGAATTACGCAATAAACCCGACCCATTTAGAGTTTTCGATATCTTTTTAAAACTCTCCTAATAGTATTTATTTAACTAACATCCTAACATTTGTTGTCACCGCTTTCGATGTATCTACTTCAACCAATCTTAAGGATTTATTTCAATTTCTCATTATATATATTTTTATGCTCTTTCGAAGATGCGCTGAAAGTTCGCCACAAAGCTTTTAACACAAAGGTAAGATTTATGTCTTATAATACTCTCTTTACCAGTCTGGAGAACTGTTAATTGATTTAGAAGGTGATCCTATTCCGAGCAATTCGGACTTAACTCTAGAATCTCTTGGAATAGGTATGTTTATTACAGATATGTCAACGCTCTTATTTTCATGTACGAATATTTTTATAATTATGTGAAAAAACGTAATCAATTGAGGAAATATTGACTTGCTAACCGTTAATGTATTTTAATAGGCGCAGAGTCTATGAGGTACAAAGACCTGGAATTATAAAATGATTTATAGTTTCGCAATGAGTCTTATTAATCGTTTTAGGTGAATAAAGGATTCAAAGGTTGTGTAAAGCATGAGTTTAATAAAAATAAGTCCGTTAACCACTTAAAAGTTGTGTGTCAGGCTTGGGGGCATTACTTTCACATGAATCAACAATGCCATATACTTGTACAACTAATATTCCAATGGGAAAATCTAGATGTGTTCAAGCGAGGTTTACCCTGATTATGGCTGACCGGCTTATCTGAAACTGATTAGAAATGTATGCAAATCGGTGTCGCGTTCGAACTTTAATGAAAGGACCAGATGTTTTAATGCACGTACGCTCACCTCATGAGACTCATAAGTATATAAACTAAAATAATCAAGTGTCACCAATGAAGAGTTACCGAGTTTAGCGATGTGATTTACTCAAGCTGTATAATCGTATTTATAATTAATTAACACACAAAGCGGTCCATTGAAAAATAGGAAGATTACATCATTCTAAACGCCAAAAGGAAGTTCCATAAAACTATCGAGAATTTTAAAAAAGAAAATACGATAAAACCGAATCTGAAAGACAACTGTTTACTTAGGGAGTATGGTAAAGGTAAGGAATAAACTATACACGTGGTGATAATAACAAATAATTAAAACAGGAGGGTGTATTAATGACCAAATTACCGTCCATGAAATTAGGTGTTAGGGCTATGGAAGATAGACGATAGTTTGCACATGTCACTTTTAGACAAAGAAATCAGGTTTTGAAAAGACGAGCTGCCTATGTTTGTGCAGTGCACAAGTAATCGACTTGTACTCCTCTCGAACCCAGTCGTTTGAATGTAGGTGATTCTGAAAGATACCTGATGAGGCCGTGTGATTCAATCTAATAAGATGCTCTGGCATTTAGCTGTTGATTGTTTTAGGTCTTTCAAAAGCCACGCATGTTTGGAAATGCACTGGCTTTATGTCACTGATATAGAAAGTAAACTCATAAATACACAATGACGTAACAGTTTATATTTTATGCATCCACGAACGACTGGGTGGCTAAAAGAGATTGTGAAGGTCTGAGCACTACAGAGTTTTACTCAAAGATGCCGTTGGATGATCTTTCGAAATGTACTAGGCATTATCACTCCCAAGCTCAGCGTTCATAGTGTTTTTTAGAACTGTAGGTCTTGGAGATCGTAGATTGGATTTCATTCAATGGAACTTGATGGATAAGCATTTCTGATATTTGTCGAAGTTCAAACAGTTCCGTGTCTATCGTGTTTTCGTAGCTAGCGGCGCATCTTTCCAAAACCTGGTTCCTTTGTCCAAAAGTGACATGTGCAAACTATCGTCTATCTTCCATAGCCCTAACACCTAATTTCATGGACGGTAATTTGGTCATTAATACACCCTCCTGTTTTAATTATTTGTTATTATCACCACGTGTATAGTTTATTCCTTACCTTTACCATACTCCCTAAGTAAACAGTTGTCTTTCAGATTCGGTTTTATCGTATTTTCTTTTTTAAAATTCTCGATAGTTTTATGGAACTTCCTTTTGGCGTTTAGAATGATGTAATCTTCCTATTTTTCAATGGACCGCTTTGTGTGTTAATTAATTATAAAGACGACTATACAGCCAGAAAGACATTTTAGCTTAATTATATATATATATATATATATATATATATATATATATATATATATATATATTTGATCTAATTGACAGTGAATGAAACTGAAGTGGCAGTGTTCAAAATGAGCGATTTTCTGGCTCAACGCGATAATCCAGAATTTCTGTGGTGAAAAGCGATAATGTCACTATGAAGCAACTATTTGTATATATAATATACTCCTTGATTCGAACATAACGTTTTACTGCTAGTGTGTCTGGTACTGTTAATCCTGAAGATCTACTTTTGATTATGAAGATGATATCTAGTGGTTACGTGCTCTTATGCTACAAAGTGAGAATGATATCTTAACAGATTAATTTCAGGATATCTTTTTCAGTATCATAAAAAGCACAATATTGATGGTACACTAGAATATTGGGAGAAGTTTATGGAATACATCGGTGGGTTAGATCTTCATTGTTTGCTAGTCGGAAGTCCTTGTGGTGATTACTCAATTATCTTAAAATGTGGTTATAAACCATTTAAGAATTACTTGCTTTAAATACTTTAATTCACATATAACAGTACTTAGGTGTTGTAATGCTGATAAAATAAATGGCAGTGTGAAGGGTCATGGGTAGCTCTAGAAAGGTACGACCTATATGGTCGTATTTTCTAAGAACGTATTTAGCAATGATATACCTCGCCCATATTATCTCAATGCAACACACGGAAATCATAATATAACTTTACCTTATCATCACTAGGTCTTAGAATCATCACTGATAAGTCACTAGTTGAGGTTTAATAAAGTTATGATACAGAATGTTCAGAGAAATTACACTATCACATAAGAAAACTTATGGAAGTATCACACTAAAGAATAATTCTGCAGTGTGATTGTGGAAAAATATGTAAATAATTCTAAATGATATAGGTTGACTAGGATCAGAAAAATGTTCCAGTAAACAGGTCGTTAAATAAAACGATCCGAATAGAGTCACTCGAATTGTTCTGTCCATTTCTTTACCAGTAAATCTAGACAAGTAAATTGCCAATTCCAGTCATTAGGATACAAATACGGACGGAAATCAAACCTAAAATGAGCAGCGTGGATATTTGATGCAAAATGTTTAGTAAACATACAATATAGCTTTATTATTAACAAAGCAGAATGAACAGATAACTAATTATACCTAGTTGATTTGATTTGCTCTTGGAATCGATTTCTGATGACCCACTCGCTTAAATATGCTGATGTTTAGGAAGACAGCGAAAACCTCACGACTATAGCACCCTGCCCACGCAACACAACGCCCACAAACTTCTTATAATGAGCTATATACTCTATGATGTAAGGATCGAATTGTCTATAGCTGCACATCTAAATTCGTCATCACAATCAACCTAATTTCTGACATCTTGAAAATAGCTTAATCCTTTTAGTATGTCTCTACTGGTTTTACTCGTCACACCAAAACTTCATGATCTAGGGTTTTGATGATTATATTACTCCTACACACAGGAATTAGTGTGATAAGACGGTGCTTGGCGATCATTTAGCGTTTGGAAATGATCTGTGTTATCGGGCATCCCGATTGTCTTAACTAATTTTAAACACTGGATATAGTGATAAGAATGTTATAGAACGGAAAAAATGTCTTCATGCTTGTGTTTTCATTCAATACTTAATAATAAAGGAGATGATGAATCGACCAAACGTTCCTTCTACGAAATTCCTGCTTTGGAAAAAACCCATCGCATTTTCATAGTTGTTTGATGTGTTCATTACAAACAGGGGATTGATGGTGGGTCTATTTAATAGTCAGACGTATGTAGACAAAATATACGAATGAAAATGAATTCAAACCGATAGAAAAACGCGGATATGAAATGGGTACCTATCAAGATTTATTGGCCGGATTTTAGAATCTAAACTCTTTACATAGATGACTAATAGGAAAACCATATGTTAGGATATGACGTTAGTTTGAGATCATCAGAACTCATTTCGTAGACCAGATTAGCATAACCAACAAAATTTAACCCGTTTTTTATTACAAAACCAAACAGGACACGAATGACAGCACTAAATACCGCTCTTTATCAAATTAAATTGCATGTGTGCTTGAACACATGGCGAGGTAGGTCTTGAAAGACCACTCTTGCAAACATTTCAGCAAAATGTGCTGTGGAGAGAAAATAAACATATTTACCTATCTGTTCATAATGAGGACAGAAAACGAAATGAGGGTGAATGTGTATAATATGGTGGCTTTTAAAATAGGATATTTTGACAACAGATTCTGTACACAGATTCCAATCCATAGTGCGGTTTCACCATCATGAGATTTATGCCGACAGATAATAAGAGGAAAATACAATATCGAGTTTTAGTTCACGTCCAAACTAACCATTAGTGTTTGATTAGAAACCTACCGAAATTGCGTTTCTATGTGAGAAAATATAAGTATGTAAAGGTGATGCGTAGGCTGAGTCCGAAAACACTGTATGAACTCGCACTTTGAAAGCAGTAACATTGTAATAAAATTCATATTGTAGGCTAGACATCATGAAATAGCCATGAACTTCGGAATTAAACACAATTATATATAGTGAGGTGGGAACAGTTTCATCAAGGTTCAGATGATTAATTGGAAATATTGATATTTATCCTTAAAAGTTTCCGTTCATGTGGTTCTCCCCGTTACTCCAGTATGGTTAGCTGAATTTATTGTTGCCTCGTAGTTAAAAAAGATTTCCCAATCAAGAGTGGTTTGTGTTCTCATCGGATGATGTAACTTCGTATCTGGTGTGATTGTTTACATCCAAATGAAATGAACTGTATTATGTTGCCAATTGCTCAGAAAACAGCTTAGAAGTGTTAGTGATGCCGATATAAAACCAAGTGAACGATATCCCTTATAAACATGTTCTGCTAAAACATTCTACGATGTAGATTTTAACTACCTCTGATGGCAACAATAATGTTAGGTCCAAACCTAGATAAACTTTAAATTGTCAGAAAGGAAAAGCTAGTGGTTTTAGCAATTATATCTACGGAATTCATAATATGTAAATTATGAAGTTTTGTGATCTAGTTGCTACCCATGGTCATCTTAGTCAAGTTCCTATGACTACAGATATCACTTAGTTATCTGGGAGACTTCAAAAATAACTGGTCTTACTGCATTTGACTCGCGAAATATGCTCATTCCCACAACAGAGATCTAGCGACTCCAGATACATCTCTCCTGTTCTACAGGGTGATAAGCGCATACACAATGATAAGGGTATTTAGTAACTCTGTGACCAAATGAACAGAGAAGAAAAAGATCAACTCACCGGTTATCATCAGCACTATAAGCCTCAGTATGGTAAGCTGGTGGTAAAACAGTAGCCTTATGACGATTGATAGCATAAAAACGAAAAAATAATTTCACTTTTTCGCTAAGATATTGAGCAAGTTCAGCACCAGGTTTCCCATCTTTTTGAAAACAACTATCAGGCATAACCTTCTTAATCAGTAACCAACTACCGTCCAATAATGATTCTAACATACTGTAAGGTCCGCAGTTGGATATTTTTCTAAGTCTACCAAATAATGATAATTCGTCATAGGTCAATCCCATTTCACATTCATCTGTCTGACTAATTTCACCGTTAGATTGAAGTGGCATTAGTTCAGCTGTTGGGTGAGCAGATAAGATTTCTAACAATACTTCCGAAAGTTCAACTCCACTTCCAGAATCCATATAACTTGGGAACGTTTGAGCACAGTAAGCAATAAACAATCGTAAATCTGACTTACTGATACTTCCAATAGGATTTAAGTCTGCACTAGAACAGTCATACCTAAGAAAAAAAGTTGAAAACACAAGATAGCAAATTACCCACAAAATCCCTTATGTAGTAAAATAGTGTTTTTTCTTTTAACATAATTGCTTTACTGTGTAATAATTTCTTATCACAAGAAAAGGATCGCAGTTACTAGTTGTGCCAACTACCTTGATATAATATAACGTCTTAATGCTTCATAAAAAGTACATATTAAAAACTGGAAGGATCCTATACTTACTTTTCCGAGCTTGTTTTGAGAAATTACCATAATAAAGGAAGAGAAGCAAACCATTCAAAATGTTTACTTTCCTCAAGTTACCGAATCTAGGAGCTTTTGATTACCATGCAGTTTGAGATATCATATGTCGCTTACTTGACAAATCCCACCGAGCTCAGTACTTTCATTCCATTGGATCGAATCCAATAGTCCACATTTCCAATGTTAGCCAATTAGCGCTGTAGCCCGTTTTTAATCCCTTATTGAATTCGTTTTCATTACAAGTTAGAAACTGGTAAATCCATACCGACGCTAATGACTAGCGGGAAAATTATTATTTATTACGGTGATCTTACGGAACAGCTGTTGAGCGCTTTGTGATATTTAGTAGTCCTTCAGTCGATATCATTACTTGATGATACTTTCGATTTTTTTAAATAATCCGAAAAACCGCTTGATCGCACTATTCTTTCAGCTGATGATTAACTAAGAAAAGTCGATACTTTTAATAGCCTAAGGAGACGGACTGTGATAGAGATAACTTACGAAATTATCATGAAACCAGTGTTCTTCGAGATTTCACGAAATACGAGTGTAAACCCATATGTAATCGGTCTAATTTTACCAGAGTTTGCTCAACATGATATACATCTAGCCACGAATTAAACTCGGCTTTAAAAAATACTGGAAACCGGAAAGTGTCAATTAGATTCGAAAATAAGACACACAAACCTCTTAGTGATTACTGTGCCGTAAATTTCAATTTTAAAAACTAACTAAACCTTTAAAAGTTATCATTTCGATATCTCAGTAACAAAACATCCCACTGTATGTAGAAGTAACTCGTAAGTTCACCGATTAAGATACAAAGATGGAGTTGCAACAAAGCGTATTAAGGGGATAACTATCGATGACAACAGTATTGACTGGATTATTTCGATAACATCAAGGAAGTGATAACTTCATAGAACTAAGGGATTTCTACTTCACTGAAACAAAGATATATGAACGATAAATGCGCTTAATTTTAGTAAATTCTCACCAGGTTATATAGCTATAAGTAAAAAATAACCAAATTTAAGTCAAGTACATTAATAAATTTATTTTAGTAAGATGTAGCTGGCTTCATCTACGGCATTTTCTTAGACTGTTATTTATAATTGCAAAACATGATAGGAAGTTATCGAATAAATTACTGACCATTCGTTTTAAATTGGAGACAAAGATAATCTTTTCCTCTCATATTAGATATGACCCTGTGTAGTTCGATCAACATTGGTTATTTGAAGGTTAATGACACTTCTCGGATGCCAAGAAAAAAGTACATGTTATTGGGGTTTAAGCGCACAACTTAATAGTAAAAAATGCTTTAACCACTACGACGGTTTGTTTTAAAGCTAATTTATATTAAGTTCAGATAAACTTGGTAACACAGAATTTCACTTTCAATATCATACGACGAGTAGAATTTTTACCTAGTAGTTTAACTTGCAGCTTACGATCAAGAATAAAGTTTCGAGCGAAATGATATTAATCGATTAATGTGTCGTATCAAATGAATAAGTTGTTTCACATACATGGCAAGTCAGTTAGCCACTTGTCCTGTGCCTTATCTGGACGTTTTTTTGTTGGGACAGTCAAAAACTTGACCAAATCAGAACTCAGTAAAGTTAATCGGGTAATTATTTTCATCATGAACTTATTGCAGTGAAAACCATTATATTAACTGGTTATTACGAAAAATTTAAATAACAATGAATATTTCTCACTGAAAAGTTGTCAAACTGCATTTTTACTAGGTGAAAGTTTAACAAATGGTAACCTACTTTGTTAAATAACCTCTTAGTCCTTCATCTAGATTTGCACTACTTAAAACTAACAGACCTGACGGCAAATTCCATTTCCATGGTATTAACTGAGCCAGTAAATATGCTGAAACCATACGACTTCTAGCTTGTATATTTTGAAGAGCTAAACTCTCTTTACTTGAACCGCCATGAACAGTGAAACGAGGTGGTTGAGCAAGATTCAAAGTCTTGGAAGCCATATGGACAAATTCTTTTACCAGTGGTGTAATATCGGACTACGAATTATACATAATGTTAGAATTAAAAATAAATTTCAATATTAAGCAATTTTAAGGCTACATAATAATAAAGAGGTTTGCATAATGGAACTTTATCACTTGGCTAAGTGGTTACATTACATTCTTTAACCTATACAAACCTGATCAATACCAAAGACTAACTTATCGATCTGCTCATCATAATGACGATATAATATAGTTGGTTACCTTATTAACTTACGTTGATGGTGATTAGTTAAACCATTTAATTCAAACAAACTAATAACTTAGTGGGTAAAACCTTAGGTTTTGAATTCAAGTGTGAATACGAGAATTAGAACTCAAGAGATGATGTATACGTCTCGTTGGTGAGTTTTTAAATAAAACGAAATGCGTTAACCGAACTTTGTTATCAGTTACCAACAAATAGCACTCAGTAACAAGATATAAATCTTATTTAAACAGCTTATTTGTGGGAATTTTTCAATTTTAAGATGGTGATGATGCAGCCCAGAATAAATGGCTTAAATTGATTTGAAGCAACTGAGAGATACAGCTTCACATGAAGCTGGAGCAAAGATCTCCAGAAAGTGAAAACCACTGGGTACCGACTTACTAGTCTTAAAAAGTCGGGTTGAAAGAGTGATCTGAAGGGTCTGGTTTTTATCCTGAGTAAGTATGTGATACCCACTCCTGAAGACTTTGAGGGTACGAAATAAACAAAATGTCCACTCCTTCCAGGTTTTTATTGGTTCTCCGATTGACTCAGGCATGTAATGTAAATCTTTGCTGTATCACCATTTTTTCTTCGTTTTAATTTAATTCTATAGGTAATAATGGTGTTTTTTGTTTCAGAATACACTGCATAAAAAGCAAGCTCATTAAAATGACAGATGTTTTAAAACTATCGGATCAATTTTCGGAGTAATGTAAAAGAGATTGAAATTTAATTACTTCTAAATGATTTGAACCTAAAAGCTTAGCTAAGCGATTAGCACGTGATCTTGTAAGCGCAGAACTGTTCTCACTTGACATAAAACAAGTTGTTAGTAGACGAGAACATAATTGACGACCACTATCAGGGATATATTTATCCGACTCATTCAATAGAGTTCGTAAATCGTGCGTAACGGACATATTACCTTGTCTTATAGCTTGAAAAATCTAAAATGAAAGAAAAAATAAACATATGTATTTCACTTCAGCAAATGCATAATAATAATACTAACTATAGTAGTATATATAATAATATAATACATCCCTTGAATTAAAGTCTGTGGAAATATTACGTGTAGTAAAAATGAAGCAGTTTCAAATATCATTTTATGGATTTGTTTGTCACTTATTGTTAGGCAACCATGCTGTGAAATACTTGATCAATTGGTTGAATCTTGACAGCAGAATAATATAAACGAATACCCTTGATCAGAAGTCCTTAAGTTAATCATTAAACTCCCTCAAATTAATAAGTAAGTCAACAGTTTATTGAATCAAAAACGATTATCATGGTATATAATGGTCTTTAAATATCTCAGATTACATTTGAGACCAAACTTACAATAACAAATAAACCAAGTTAGAGATGATGATAGATATATTTTGTAAACATCTGTTTGTTTGTGGGACAATAGTATTACTAGAGATGCTGGTTGCGTTGGAAAAACACTCCTTCCGCCATATCTTGTTACAATAAGGAGTACGACTCTACTGTCAGATTTTAAATGTGCTACTTTTAGTCCTATTGTTTTGCTGACTACCTGCTAGGTACGTTAGGACCTCAAGAAATAAATGTTTTAGCCAATATAACCCCACTGGATCGTCATAACAAAAAGATTAAAACGTCGCATTAAAGTAGCAGTTACATTCGGGATAACTTTACCACAAACTGCACATTAATGGAACTTCAGAATGGCTTATTTTTCCTACCTTTTTAGCATAACACTCTACTCCTACTTCGATTTTAGCGCCCGTACAGTATTACAGCCCTCACACAAATCAATGATAACTGCTAATGGCCCCAGTGTTATTGTGTAGCGCATACGTATTTGGTACTCCCGTTGTACCAATGTTTGTGTTCAAATAAATAAATAAACATAACACTCTGCTACAAAGTGAATCACTATATCTCCACACTGTGATAGTGAAATAGAAATGATTAAACATAGCTTTTACTAAAACGACACTTTTTAATGAAATTACTTGATTACAAAGACTGAACACAATACACGCAACTGCTGCACTGTCCAAACCTCCACTCAGGCAAAGAAAAAATCCTGAAGACTTGCTTCGGCGTAAATTGTCCCATAACCATAATGCAGGACCATAAGAAATCTCTTCTGGAGGTGAGGGAATATGAGTATCAACGTGAGGCTGTAAGGACTGATCAGGCCAATGGTCAATATGGCAAAGATTGAAATCAACCTGCAAATGAAAATGATCTAGGCAGATGTTATAAATTAAAGAACAAATTTATCAGAATTCACACTTTTGCTTAATCATAAAGTGTTCTGGTGGAAGAAACAGCTATAGATGAAAAGCGATGTAGAGCATTATTTGCTTGTATGGAGATCGAATATTTTGTAGATAAACAAAAGCACTATATAGGCAACCAAACTAATTTCTTCAACTAAAGTTTTAACCTAGCTATTTATGGTACATTGAATGACAAAAAGTTAGGGATAAACTAATGATGAACATCAGAAAGTTGTTCACCATTTGCAAACGCTACATTCCAGTTAAAAATATGTATAGACAATTGGCTTGCTTAATATGTAAACTCCGTTACATGAATTACAAGCCGTCAAATAATTTATATCGTGTTGTGACTGTTCTTGAAGTTTTAGTGTTCTCCAGAAGTTTATTTTCATGAAAACTTCGAACACTAATCTATGTACGATTTTTAATGAAACAGATATCTGAATTAATTCCAGAAGCCCGATAATTGCTTCGGAGTTGTTGTTCGGTGGTCCGATCATTATCTTTCACAAGTTTGACTCTTGCCAAATACAACACAATCCATGTCTATGGTTCGAATCTTCGGCTTTCATATAAAGATATGGCCAAAATTAAAGTGCATGATCCTGTACTTGATTAGTTATTTGGATTTATAATGTTTCATTAACTTATAATTACTGCTTAATCTAATATTTTCCAATAGTAAGTGCGATCGATCGTTCAAGAATATAGCCGAAATGGCTTGTGGTCGGTAATGGCTAAGAATATGCATATAATCGGTATGATACTACTAATCACTGATAACTGACCAATGAATTTCCAATCTAAGCAATTATAACTAACGAGATATCTCTTTTCATGCTTTACCGTTCTTGAATTGTATTTTACTTCGCAGATGATACAGATATTCAAATTATAACCTTTAAGTTATATACTTATATTGTTATGTAGGTCCCTAGATCATAATAAAAATAAATGAATGACATAATAAAAACAACAGAGCTTTGGTATCTTGCCCAGTGCGTTAAACGAAAGAAAATCGTACCTTAACAACTGGATAACAACTGTGTGTAATGCCAAATGCATCGGATTTCGCAGCTGCACTAGCTGCAGCCGCACGCCCAAAACAACGACTGGCAATTCGCTTTGATCTCAGTGAATTCAGACAAACAGTGACAGTTTCAACAGAGACATCCCCAAATCCAAACTGTGGGCTCAGACAAATTAGCTGACCGGAAACTGCGGCTAATGCACAACCGTCGTAACAAGCTCTCCCAGAATCGCATCCTCTAAGATTTGTATACGCATAGAATCCACCACCATTCGTTGTGCTGGCAGATTTCACTAGTTCTATTCTTCTACTTAGTTTTCTCAGTTCATGGTGACTGGCACTGGAATTGAGCACAGCATCCACACCAGCCGCATACATATCAATATGAGGTGGTGTTCCCGTCCAAAGCTCTTCACATGTTTCCAAGCCTATCTGCACACATTCAGAATAGCCATTTCCAGAAAATCGTAAAATAGCATCACCAAAAGCTGCTACTGACTGAGAATTCTTGGTTACTTTTTGGACTATTTCGGGCAACTCAAAGTCAATGATTCTCTGGTGATGAGGCCAAGGCGTAAACCAACGAGACTCTCTGTGCAAACCTTCATCTGCGAGGACTAATTTCGGTCGTATCAATAGAATAGTCCCATTTAACAAAAGAATTCTGCAGTTATAAGCCACACCTCTCAGTAAAACTGGCATTCCAATATCACAAACAATATCTTGCATTTCAACATTTTCATTTGTTTCACTCAATATTTTTGCAATGCATTGCCATGAATGAGTATAGGTATCCAATTCATGAAAATGATCTTCGCATCCGTAGCTTGAGACCTCTAGTTCTGGGCCAACTCTATACTTAGCCCCCAAGCGTTTAGCAGTTTTAATACTTTCGATTACACGTCTAGTATTTCCACTAAAGTCAAGCGCCCACTGATTCAGTACACATAGAGCAACAGTAAATTTGTTGGAGACCGGAGAAAAGTTAATAACTACAGCAGACATTAAGCCCCTAGATTAAAATGCAAATTGCATGTTATATGCTTCGAAAAACAAAACACTTGCAAAGCAGAGAAAAGTTACACATGAAAACAGGGATTTAGGACTGATTAAATTGGGTTTTACATTATTAACCACATCCTGTTATAAGAATAGTGCCGTATTAGAGAGAACAGATGAAATGAGACGTCATTACGAAAAGATCAATACATTCTCAAAGACCAATTAAAACCCCAATTGTTAGAAATTAGTTGGTAATTCGCTACTATAGTGGGGATTTTCTGAATGAAGGATCTTCATTTTATTGTGCCTGACTTTGAAATATGTCAATATATTTCATAGGTAAAAACTTCAAGAAAGCATGTTGTGAATAATTCGTATTGCATATAGAACTGGATATCAGCGATGCGTATGGAAAACAAAGCCTTAAATTTGCAAGATATGTTGCTGAAACATTAAACTTAGTCAGCCAGTTTCAACGTAGGACCAGGCACATATATACATCGGTTCAAGTTGCTATACCTCGTTAGCACAACAAGATGAACATCAAATTCATATTAGTTACATCAATGGTAGTAATGTATACAAAAAAGATGGTGCATAAGGATACAATAAAAGAACAAATAATTATTTCGTAGAAAGAAAGGTATAAAGCGATTCTAACTTCACGGTTTAAGAGAAGACAAAGAGTGCATACACTTACGCCATTGTGATCGATTCTAAGCCATTTCAGCCAGTCTCTAACCACTGGTTATGATGGTCACACTGACCCCAACCAAGTAGTCTGCATCTACCAACATGACTCAGACCATAAGTTAGTGACTTTATGGACTGATGCCATGTTTTGGTTTGGCCGCCTCTAACTTTCTTGCAACCATCTCCAACACTAGTCAGCATTGCGCGCCGTGGTAAACGGTGGTCGGGCATACGTAACACGTGGCCCAACTATCTCAATTGATGAAGATTCACAACATCAACTGATTTATCACCATTCTCTAATACCATACATCCAACTTTACTTTTACTTATCGCCTACTTATCCAGTGATCCCAATAGATGCGAACAATATTGAAATTGGGATTTAGCTTGTAAGTTTATTATTATTACATGTATTACTGTGGAGAAGAATGGCGTCAAATCATGGGGAAAATGGTTTACCAGCAATAGTCTATTGTGTTAAGGACTGAACTTTTATCACATTAGTTTGTCTTCTGATATTCAAAGTGAACACCATACCAATTGGTTCCTCCCTTAAGGGAGGAACAGAAGATATATATGTATTATATATATAATACATGTTAAAAAGCAATAATATAAAAAGCTATTTACTAAAGTTGTTATTGTTTTGTAAAAATATCTTTGAGAATCTTCGTACTGTCTGATACATATACACGTGCGGACGTTTCAGACCAGTCCTTCAGTTGGTACAGGCAATTACAATTAATCCATAGACATAATATTATCTATATGTGTATCATATACGTGGTGCACTTGTGCACGTGTACTAGAAAAAGCAGAAGATTTTATTGGGAATCAAGCGGAGTAGCAGCAACACGTTAGAAAGCAGTTACTTAGACCTAAAGCGACCGACCTTCAGAAGTCTGATGGCAGCGGGTTTTCGGGAAGACGAGACTTGTACATTCAAAGCCAAGCATGACCGTGTTCTAGTTAATTTCTTAATAAGAACATCCAACAAACATAATTTGCTTAAATGTTGTCTGCTGATCATATAACCCAGTAACCGATTATCTATTGACCACAGAATTTTATATGGAATAGATGGTATGGGGATAGCAGTTAATTGAGTGGTACACATTTAATCCTATTTTCAGTCTAAACGTGAACAGTTGGATAATTCAAATAATCCTAAACGAAGTTAGGTCTTTATTGTTGTTGTTTTTTTATTTTGATAAGTAATTAAAATTCAGCAGCATTGTATTTATGATGAGATAAATTTCCGGGGATGCTATAGGGATATGAAGTTGGTATGTCCATTCCAAGTCGACTTTTTGTCATCACCTAACAATTGTTTCCTGAAGCTTTCCAAGACTACCATTTGAATGACTGAAGAAAGTCACCAGATAGATTGCTATATTACTTTCGAACCTACTTTTTTTAATGTTGACGTTAACTTTTATTAGAATTAAAGGTCAATGTTTTGTAAAATAATAAGTATAAGCTCCCTAGTTATATTAGGGAATATGCACCACAGCTTGCTTGTACGTTATCTGACGCAAATGCTTGACCGACTGCTTTCAGATAGATTTGCATCAAGTAAAGGCCAACATGAATGTCGATTTGTTAGCTACTACAATTGTATGGAGCTAAGTGCCTTCAGTCTCTCACTCTACGGTCTTCTCTGTGGATCACTGAGGCGAACCTTATTGGTTTATATGTCTAACTTTGATCAGTTAGGGATATCGTGCGATCATCAAATCTGTGGCTAGTGGATCAGTTACACTCCAACGACTATGCATGACCTTCTAAGGTTCTTGAATGTGGGAAAATTATGAGTTTTACATGAGATGCACTGTAGGGTATTAGAGGAATACCCATGCCCATACTGTTTCCGTCTTAGTATTATTTTAAGATGCTTATTTTCTGATAATAATTTATTTAACCGCTGGAAAAACCCTTTTATATCCGTAAATAGCTGAGTGCAGACCGCCTGACACCAACCCACTCAACATTAGAAATAGGTGTTAATGGAACTGCCTTAATATCCACATAGCTCTTTTGGGATCGGCAACAAGATATTTGATAGACGATCTTAAATTAAATTTTAATCTGTGAATCTTGAGTGGTAGTGCAGAGCGAATTGAGAGAATACACCACCACCGGACAGGAAGACTCCTACTTTATGATTTTTTGTCAGATTCGTTAATAATTTTGAGATAAGTTGCACCCATTTTCTTTTTTTATGAGATTCTTCTGAGTACAGCTGACCTCAACAGTCGTGGATGGTGCGAGGTCCCACTCATATCACTGCTCTTCAAGAAACTCGGGATAGAATAATGTGGTATTTTTACTGTGGTGTGGACTGCTGATGTCGACATATATGAGCAATGTGGATCATCAATGTCTGGCAGCAGAAGGTTGCAGTGACCCACTTTTATCAAAAGATCGCGATTGGTATAACGGGAACAATTACTATTATACCCGATTGTACCGGTCATTTTTTTACAGTACTTGTTTGTTTAACTATACTAAAGACATCCATTATTATTCCATCCTTCCTTCAGTTGATTGTGGCCTTGCACGAATTCGGTTACGCTCAGTAACCACACTTGCAACCTGGCACGATCTTGATATTTTTTCGGTACCACGAGATCGCCAACGAATACATCTCGACTACAGCTCTAAACTGCCTTCTGATATTTTGCCTACGGGGGATCTTATCCATTAACTGGCACGTAGTCTTCCTGTAGTGGTGATCATAGTCAACCGCGACTAGACGCCACACTGAAAGGTTGAGAGGATCAAAGAAAGGAGACGAGAACAGAGAGTTATTGGTGTGGAAACGAAGGATCGGCCAAGTCTGAGACAGTTGATTGACATTTTTCAAATGAAGAACTTATTGTATAGTTCTCAGATTTGACCAAGCTCTTCTGTGATGCTGTGTTGAAATACATGTGGTTGTCCGCACTTGTGTTAATGTTCACTACAGTACGAACTAATGATTCCTTTGTGCTTAATTTTTCACTGATTACATATTTTTGTGCTCACCTGGCTCTACCTGCCCTAAATTTCGCTACTTCGGTAATTCTCAGTTAGTACATTAATTCCAATACTTTTAATCATCATATTCGCGTTGCGATGGAGCTTGTGATTGGAAAGCTGTACATTTAAATTTTGGGGTTTCCAAAGAATAAGTGGAAGATTTTGAAATCTTAAGTATGACCGGGAAAGATGTTAAAGGTTATGAATTTGTGGCTCGTTTCCTCATATTCACTGTGAAAGAATGCCCTGTAGATTACTAAAAACTTCGGTATTTTCAGATAAGCCTATCTCATTTCTCTGAGAAACTATCAAGGACGTACTACTAAATCATGTAAATTGTGAAAGTTTCTAATGTCACAAAAGAGCGAAATTTCAGAAAATGCTTTGTCGGGACAATCGGAAGGTTAGGGGGTTTGACCTCAAATTGCAGAAACAAGCTGTTATGTGTAATTCTGGTGATTAACTTCACGCGCAGTTTCATAATCGGTTAGTTACAGGAAATAGTATACCATATCTGGAAAGAGCTCAAATAAATGCTGGAGTGTTCCTCTCAAGATGCTAGAATTGTGTGCATTAATTATGAGGCAGTGCATGAAATTAACTTTCAGGATATAAAGAATCCTACTACGTTACCTAGTTTTCTCAATCCGATGAATACCTAAGATCATAAACGTAGACGTTAAACTAACAACAATTCTCGTTCTTTTGAAAACATGGATAACAATCCATGGAGGAGTTTCGAAGCAGGTTCCCGAGTTGAGCACAGGTCTGTTATGTGCTTATCCTGTGGTAAATTTCACCTACGTAATTCGCGTGTCGTTCCTCATGCCAAATAATTTAACTGTGATATTACTTAGAATCCTAATTACTTGAGTGATTCAAACGGTCATATACCAACCTCATCGACAACTTCCAGTTGTTCACTTTGTATTCAAAAACGATTATATTTGTCCAGTGGAGTCTTTGATGATTTTATTAGTGACATTTGCAGTATCACGTCCATCGTTTAAACTGGAAAGTTGAAGTCATTAAATCCTGATGCTATAACTAAGCCTACCAAAGTTTATATTTCGAGTAATACTCATTATGAACTTCATATTCTTGGGTGCTGTAGATTGCAAATTAGAGACGATAAATCTTCGATCCTTAATTGTGAATTCCTCATCACTAACTATGGTCCATCTATCCTTGGTCTAGAAGATTTATTAACGCTTAAGGGACAGCTTTTCTTATTGACCACAGTGGACGGTTATAATGAAGTGCTTGATAACTTTCTAACTACAGAATTGAACTGCGAAAAATCACGCACGACTTCAAGGCCATTTCATCCCGATGTGCAAGAAAGAGATTTTGAAACTTTGAAGACAGACGTCAATAATAACACTGCTCTAAAATTCAAAGATTCGGAAAGGAGAGTAGATAAAGACTCAGTATCGAGTTACGAGGCTGTACGCAAAACAAACAAGGTTAAGACTATTTGAAAAAAATCTCCTTGATAAACAACTCCCATTCCACAATTTTCAGACGGTTTGCAAAAACACGTCAAAAAAATCTATGGTTCATGCGAAAGTCACAGCAACCAAATACGTCACAAGGACCCGCGTGGGTCCGTTACAATTTTCACCTTTAATTCTAATACTAATGAGTGCACCCCAGATGATTCATAGCCTATATCTAGTATGCACTCGGACAGACACATGATGAACCTAAGAAGAATTAAAATCGACTGTAAAAATTTGAATTCCCATTGAAGCTGTGGCAGTTATGGTAATTGTACGAACTAATGATTTCTTTGTACTTGATGACACTTTTGTGTATTCTTCAAAATTTTGTTAGTTGGCACAGGAAAGTTTTGTTAGTGGTTGTTGGCGATTAGTGTGATAAAGAGTCTAATTTTAAAGAAGCAGATAAACTTTAATTGTTAAGTTTTATTTGTAGACGTCCTGATATCCAGTTTTGCTGTACAGTGATCGTACCAATTATTGTTGTTATACTTTTGGGTCATCTGCATAATACGATTTACCGACATTGCAATTACTTTTAATCGGCTTGATAGGACTGGCATTTATCAAGAGTGTACGGCCTTTCAATGACGGGTTTACAGATTGGTTTACGAATTTGGATAGTAGAAAACTGAATATCCGTTGCTCAAGCAAGGTTGGTGTGTGCGGAGTTGGAAAACCCTGATTCCAAACAAATGGCGCACATCGGCTCCAGAAGTCTGAGGTAATAAATGGTAAATGAACCCATCATTGGTTGCCGGTCACCAGGGGACTGTATCTACTAACAGTGCTCCCCCTGGCAACAAGAAGTATGGTGTGGCTGAAAAGATTTGTGAAGAGGACGGGATGCCAGTATTTAATATCTAACAGCATCTTGGTCGATGGTCAGAGTTTTTAGAGGTGCAGTTGAACTAGTTTTTTACTCAGACAACATCAATTATACTGTCCTCTCCTGGATGTCTGGTGGCGACTGATCCACCTAACAAGGCGGAAGTCTGTAAGGAACTCCAACTTTCGTGGTGTCACAAATTTACAATTCTATATGATTTACCTTCGACCGTTTTTAACGATAGTGCTGACTTCCTGGTTAAGAAAAAGACTGGATAGTTTCGTTCAACTACAGTAGGGATAAATCAAAAGGACTGATAGTGGCTTTTGCAATTTATGTGTCTATTCTACAGCTTATGAGGCACTTAAATTAGGTTTCTCTCCATAGAACTAGGTCTTCCGAACCCGACGTTTTCTAAGACTGATCTCTGTACGCTCTGAAAAATTCAACTGGGAAAATTTCACTAATCGTGCCTCTTCACTAGATGAATGGTGTCGCCTTCCTGGAGTGAGATCATAGAGACGAGCTTGTAGGAAGCAATTTCCCACAGATTCAACT